TTAGCAGACCTAAAAATAATAGAGCTGGAGGAGCTGCTTACTTCACATCCAGGACTCTTGCAATGTCCTGCAAGTGCTAAATGCTGTGATTGGTGAATTTTTTGTGAGAGCTGGCAGTGCTATTACATCATCACACAAATTATGTTCTCTGTACTTCCTACCATGCCTTCCAGCTGTGGCCCTGCAGGCAGAAGAAGGTAGCCATGTACATGATCCACATCCAAATGGGCATTTTTTTTCTTGGTGAATTATACTGATTTTGCAAATATGCATTCATTTAATGCAGTGTGCTAATTATGAAAATGTTTAATTTAACTGACTGTGTCCTTGTTGTTAATGCTTACAGTATGGATTGTGCTAGGAACGGGGTGACTTTTGACTTTGTATGTAGGCTATACATTAGGGCCATTGTGGGCTGGGTCTTTATTTTCTGGATGTTTCTGTTTTCCTCATGGAAAAGTACTGATTTATTTGCTATACTGCAAATCAGACATCAGCTCCCTGACTTAGACTCATGAATGGCTTCTGAGTTTGGATGCCCAATGGTTTAGATGCCCATGTGTGGCAGCATGGCATGTCTGGTTGTTCCGTAGCTGTCAGGAGTTTGGTGGATGCTGAACTCTGACCACAGGACTTGAAGTGACCAGATAGTTGCAAGCACCCCAAATGTTCTTGTGTGAACATTTGTTTGCCAAATATTGCAGGTGCTTTTGCAAGCCCCAAACACCTAGCACATATATTTGTTTTGTGAATACTGAGGTTAAAAAAACGCCAAACCATTCCCAGCAAAAGATTTGTAGCTGGTTAAAGGAGAGAAAGAGCACAGCTGTTCAGATAACCAAGTGTAGTCAGCAATCTTGTTTACTAGGGTTAATTTTACCTCTAGCAGTGTTTGTGCCATTGGCAAAGTGACAGTCCTGTCACAAGAAATGGTTTCTATTGAGTTCTCACCAGGGTGTGGGAGGGAGCCCAGAGTTACCAGCTGTCTGAGAGCAGCAAGGGCAGGAGCAGTTTCAAACTTAGCATTTAGGTGTTCCCATACTCTTCTGGAATGGCTGCTGTGCTTTCTAATGCTGTGGGATTGGCACATCATGAAGAATGTCAAGGTCATTTGCATATTTGTGATTCTTTATGTGGTTTGGATTTTTAAAATTCTTTAATGCTTGCAAAATATAAAGAACTATACAATTTGTTGAGTAGCACTGAAATTGAACTGAGCGTTATAAAGAGTTTGGGAAGGAAACCTAAAGTCTCTCAGTGGATGTACATATTTTGCTGCAGCCTTGAGTACAGAATCCCATCACAGCAGGGCTCAGTTCATCAAAGTGGCATTCATGTCATCTGTCTCTATCTGTCTAAAATTAAAGCATCTAGGCCAGAAAGTGCTTCAGTCCAGCTATTTTGTGTGCCTATTCTAGGGTGGATAAGTCATGCTCAGATGAAGTGTGTCTGCACTGGCTGCAGGGTACATAGAGAACTAGTTGGGATGCTGTGTCTGGGTTCAGCCCTGGAGCTGCCCCCAGTCTGGGAGAGCTCGCAGCCTCATGGTGTCATTTAAGACAGCAGTTGTGTTGATAAAGTTTCCGCTCAGAGCAGCACTTGGGAACCTCCTTTACCCCTGAGCCGGCATGTTTTCTTGGAATCAGGCCTCCAGCTTTTACCAGATGTCCCCTTCGGGCTCCAGCTGTGTCAGCTAGGATGTCACTACCCGTCAGTGCTTTTCAGAGCCGGTGATGATCCCAGAGAGATCTGACAGCAGGGCAGTCTGCGGGAAGCTGAATCTATCCATTTGTTGTAAACAATTTAGAGCTTTTGGGTTGATCTGTCCTGATGGATTCTACCCAAAGCAGACCCAGCAGCACTTGCACAAATGCTCCCACCAGCAGAGTGATGGCAGCAACCACTGGACAATAACTCCAGTGGCACTACAGCGTGCAAAGGGAATAAGGGAATGTCTTTCTGCAGTTTCAACAGAGGAGACAGGGAGTCTCAGCCTGGGTTCCATCCCCTGCACTGTGCAGTTCTCTAGATTGTGTCTCATCTAAAGCCTGCAGTGATGTTCAAGCACTCCTGTCTCTCAGCTGTGCATGTGTGATAGTGTTGACCGTGAGGCATTCTGCCAAGCTGAGTCAGGTGAACATGAGGGAATGTGGTGTAATGGATACCAAGAAGCACTTCAGAAAGGACAGAGCTGAGAAGGACTGTGTCGCTCAGAGGCAGTGAGCACATACACATAGCAAAGAGTTGGTTGTACCAGGGGAATTCGTGACAACAAATGAGTTTGCTATAGGTGTTAGCAGATGATTTCTGTGCTTGCATATATTCCTGCAGAGCCATTCTCAGGCTCTGCAGGAGCATTCTCATTTCTCAGCCTTTACAGTCACAGATGTGGTGAGACTATAAACACTGTAATCTCTCTCCTTCTTAATTCAGAATTTGGACCGTTTCTCGCTCCATTAAATCTCACATTTAATTTTATTTTGTAGAGTTTTAGTCATAGGGACAGTGTTGGGGACAGAAACGGTACATTTAGTTCTGCTGAATGGATAGGATATTAGATTGACAGTCCCTGTCAGTGTTTAATTGCAGATTAATGGGAGGTAATATGTCATTATGGCAGCTCAGTAGCACAAGTTTTGGAGCTGCACACAAAGTCCAGGCTTTCATTTCTTGTTAGAGGAGGCTACTCTGACCTGCCTTGCACAATTTCCTCTCTGTTCTCTTGTGGCAGAGAATAGGAATATTTACAGTTCAGGTACTTAATGACTCCAAGAATATGATGCAAGACCAAAGGTGTAATTTAAAGAGTATGAAGAGATGGGGAAGAACTGATACCATACAGGAATGACATAATTTCAACAATATACTACAAGGAATGAAGTATCTATGAAAAGCTTTATGCTGTGAAATGAGCAGCATTCTGCACAACATCTGCCAGCACATACAAAGGTATTATTTGTGTCCAAAATGAGTAGATATGCTCAGCTTTACTAACCACACCATGAAGTCTAGGGAGGGACTGTATTCATGGGGTGGAAAATGAGGGCATTCCATAAATGGGTTATTGAAGTAAGATTCCCAGTTATTGCCTAGTTGAGCCTCTGTCAGCTGGTACTTTAATATACTTCATGTCTTGCAGCAGATGCCTTATGTTGAGCAGGTTGATTTGAAGCTATTCTTACTGAGGACCACCTTGAGACATTTACTTCCCTAAAAAGTACTTTAAAATATAAGCATCCCTCCTTATGTCTGCAGAAAAAATAATGCTATTTGAGAATGGAATGGATTGTATTTTGGCCCTAGGGAAGAAGCTGAATAACGTGTTAGAAAGGACTTAATCACTTTAAGATTTAATAGATCTCCTTCAATTTGTCTTTCTTTGTAAGACAGCCTGTCAGTGTTGCTGTGCAGGTACCAGGCACCTCCTCAAGAGTCACTTATTCTTGAACTCACAACTGACAGTCCTGCTTGTGCAGACTGTGCAGTGTGAAGTGTCATTAGGTAGAATGGATTAATTTTTATTTTTTTTTTTGGTAGGACAGGGAAAAGGTTCTTGTGTAGCAATGGGCAGAGAAGGTCTTTATGTCTGACTGGAGTCACATGGAGCAATGTTAACTGTCCCAGAATGAAAGATATGGCTTGAAAACGTCTGTGGCAAGCACAGGGCTGCCTCTTGTGTGACAGATTTCAAGGCAGCAGTTGTAATGCTAATTAAAGGAGAAGAGGGAGCCTGCAGGTGAGGAGTTTCAGATGTATGTGACAGATCTGCTGGGAATTTTATCTTGTGCTTTATGAAGTATGGCTACCACCATGTTTGTTTGTGATAGACCCTTTGTTTATGCTCCTGACTCTGGCATTTTACCTATTTAACTATTTTGCGTGTCCAGTTGTTCTCTGCTGCTGTAAAAGTGGGAACTGGCAGAGCTTAGCAAAATTTACTCAGAGGATAGCAAGTCTGTTATTAAAGCTTCTGACCCAGATGGGCCAGGGATGCTTCTGTATGGAAACAGCATGTCTCTTAATAATCTGATGTAGTTTGGCCTTCAAGGTTGCTGTATGTGAGAGTGTTTTGGACTTGTGAAGTGCTGTGTATTCCTGTGCAAAGAACAACCTTGCCATGCCCAAACCTCTGTGTCAGAGTAGCAGCCCAGGGAGAGCATCACTGCAGCTGCTATTGCTCCCTGTTCCTTACAGGTAAGAGAGGATGCAGCAGCAAAGTTTGGGCAGTGGAGTAGCCAGGCTCTTCCTCTTCTTCCTGTTGGCCTGTGTGTCTGATCACATCTGGGGAGAGAATCACGAGCAAGGAATCAGCAGCAAGGGGCTGAATGCAGTGCCACCGTCTGGGGTCAGAGGTGCACCCTGCAGGGTCCAGGTGTGTTCCTTTGGGTCTAGCTGAGCTGGAAAGCAGGTGACTGTGTACAGCCACCTGGCAAATGTTGCTGCCTCACTGGCCTGTGGACGGAGCAGTGTGAGTACTTCCTTATCTCCTCCAGGCACAATCAGGTTGCCTAGCTCAGGTCAATGATTTGTGTTGTTTTATATTAGCACTGATGATTTATTTTTCTTAAGTGTAAGAATGTGGTTTTGACAAAAAAGGAACTTTTCAGGGAACACTGTGGGGAACAGCCAGGAAGGAAGTGCAGTGAGTAGCTGAAAGTTGTGAAATTCTTTTAATGGTACACAGGGATCTAGGAAAAAAGTCTCGAATGGCCTCGGATTAATAACCCTCTGCCCTTTGCTCAGGACTTATTTGACAGTAATGGGTGAACAAAATATTAGTGTATTTATGGTTTGCATAACCAGGCATAATAAATATGTGTGGCTAATACCACAGAATGACCAGGCTACTTCAGAAGAGAGTTAAGATCCTAATAATGCCTTTGTTTAAAAGGCATTAAGCATTGAGATGCTATCTCAAGTCTAAAACTGGGGAAAGTATTTATCATTAGTACCATACTGCCAGATTTAGTAGTGTGAAAATAATGCAAACAGTCATCTGTAATGCAAATGTTGACATCTGATTAATAGAGAAAATAACACAAACAATTAATCCACAAGGGAGTAGATCATTATAAATGTAAATTAGATCATCAAAGGGTAAGCCACACAGAAATAAAACTATCCCAAAACATGATTAATTATTGAAATTCCAGTAAAAAAGGCATCTATAACAATAGAGTCCTTGGAAGACATGTCAAGTGGTTCATCTAGGTTCTGGACAGGGTTATTTTACAATACAAAAATTGATTGGCTTCATTATAAATATGATGGGGACATCTATTCCATCCAAAATACAGTTCTTTTTTTAGTGACAGAGCACAGCCTTAGCACTAAACTAATTTCTGATTTGCATAAGCCAAATTTTTGCTATAGAACATAGTTTACTTGGATAATTCAGGAGATACCTGCTTGCATTTTTTTTCAGGGATAGGCATAGCCTTTACATAAATAATGTAATTGTACCTGCATATGATCTTAATCACCCCAAGATAAAATTTTAGAGGGAAGGCTGTCTTTCTGGTCAGCTCATAGAGATTTGTCAAAAATTAGTTTCTCTTCTTGCCTCTTAGAAAAATTTTCAGGTGACCTTGGGCAGATCACTTCATCTTTGCTGTGCTTTGTTCTCTTAGTTTTGAATGTTTCAGCTTAATGATGTATAACATGAAATTATTTAAATGGTCTTCATTTCAAGTAATGCTCAGAATCTACCCTTGTAAAGTCCTGGTCACTTTTTTAAAAGCTCAGTTATTCTTTTCTAGCAAAGTAGGGCTTGCTGCTCTTCAAGTGCTGTTAAATGTTCAAGCGACTTCTGCTTTAAAGATACACAATATTTTAGCACTGTTTGTAACATTAAAGACTAGCATTGTAATCTGCATCTTTTCTGAGGTTAAATGTTACATTTTCCTATTATTAGAGACCTACTTAGGAACTTGGCAGCTTTCCTCCCTTTCTATTCACACTAGACTCAGTGCGCTTTACCGCAGCAGTTTAAGCGCATTTTGCATGGCATCATGGTGGTGTGCTGAACACCCTGCAGAACTGGCCTTGTGAGACACCTTGCTCCTTATGCAAGGCCAGTTGGATTTTAGATACCAAAAGTGGCCAGATAGAAACTTTCTAACACAGTTTTGAGTGTTAGAAAACAGGCATTCTTTATTGCAGAGCATTGGCATTCAGACAATCCTTCCTCTAATTAATTGCATGCCCTGAGAGTTGGCTCAGCAGAGATTTTATCATGTTACACTGGTTACATATTCATTAGCTATCCCTGCTTACTTGATGTATGTAGATTACTTTATTTTGCATAGTCACGCCCCTTATTGGAAGGCCTTACATGGCTCTTTGGCATACTCTTGACTTCTATTTTGTCAGTCTCATCTACTCCTCTTTATTTGATAAGAGTAAAATGTTGTTCTGTTCTACTGTTCTTATCAAGTTCCCCCTTTTCTTGAGACTAAGTTCCTTATGGGAACTAGTCTCTTACTGTTTTTCATTTTATAGCATAACGGTTACAACAAGCAAGCTAAAACACACATAGCAATTATTGTGCTGACAGTTATAAGCAGATGTTTTAAGCAAGTCCAGCTGGGTTACCAAGAAGTAAGTTTGGTCTAGATATCTTCAGATCCCCAGGAGGTGTCATCTGGAGCTGTGTGTTGTAAAATTTGAGTTTGTTTCCAAATTTCCTGGATATCCGTAGACATTCTGTCATGTTGATTGCAAAACAAGACTTGAGCATCTTGGGTTTTTTGATTACCTGAGGAGATTTGGCCCTTTTAGTTCTGGCATAATGTATCTGTGATTCTATTCTGCCCAGTTTCAATGCAGTTGAAGTTGTCAGTGGGAGTTTGAAAGGTCCCCTCCACTTTGACTGGAGCAGATAGGTTCCCCAGTCTTTTAAGTAGACCCAATCTCCTGGCTGGAACTCGTGCGCTGGTGCGTCCAATCCCGTCAGTCTGGAGATCACCACTGCTGGCTGTAAATCCCATGAAGTTTTATAAAGAGAAATGAGGTAATTATTGAAGCTGGCCCCTCGTTAGAGGTGTGTGTCTCCTCTGACGTGTGGTATGTGATAGGGTCGACCATACAGCAACTCATAGGGGCTTATTTTGCTGGTGTCCCACAGCTGAATTCTGATTCGTAGTACAGCAACATGTAAGGCTCGGACTCCTGTCCTGGAGGTTTTCTGGCATATTTTACCCAATTGCAATTTGTATAATTCATTCAGTCTAGTTTGCCACTAGCTTGTGGCCTATGAAGGAGTATGAAGATCCCAAACTATTTCTTCCTATACTTTCTTAACCTAACTATTGTACCTATTGTATATACCTATTGTATTGTATCACTTCCGCATTAGAGTGGGAGCTAATGACGTTCCCAAAGGTACCTCAGATCTAGTTATTATTTCATGCAACAGTATTTTAGTCACTTCCCTAGCCTGATGGGTGCAACAAGGAATGGCTTCTGGCCACACAGAAAAGTTGTCCACCAGAACTAGGAGGTGTTAACAATCCCCTTTTCTGGGTAATTGAGTGAAATTAATCAGCCAATATTCACCTGTAACATTTCTGGATTTCATGGCTCCTAGCACTACTTTATTAGCTGTGTTAGAGCTGTTTCTTTTATAAACTCTACATTGTTGTATTCTTGATTGTACAATCTGAGCTGTTTAAAACCCAATTACGGATTTTTGTAAATGTTTCAAAAGTTTTCCAGTACTCTAATGAGTGGCTTTATGTTCACAATCCACAATTTCACGCAAGATCAATTCTGGGGCTATTATTTGCCTGGTTGGAGTAACTGCCAAGCCTCGTGGATCAAATTTTGCTTCTATGGTTTCAATTAATTGACAGTCCCTAGCACTATACTCTGATTTTTCTCCTGGGAGAGGTATCTCTGGGAGGGGTATTAAAGATACGTTTTCTAAAGTGCCTTTTTCTGCAGCCTCTTTGGCAGCCTTATTGGCTAAATGATTCCCCAGCTCCAGTTTGGTCTTACCTGCTTGGTGTGCACTGCAGTGCATAATAATAAAACTTCTATAAAACTGGCTTCTGGATACTTTCAAGCAAATCCAAGATTTGTTTTCCATTCTTGATCAGTGTGCCTTGAGATGTCAAAAGGCCTCTTTCCAGATGGCTCTGTGTGCATGCACCACTCCAAATTTTTGTATTTTGAATCAGTCTGAATGTTAACTCATTTTCCTGTGCTCAGTTCCAAAGCTCGAGTGAGTGCAATTCACATTGGAAGGAGTGCCCCTGATTCAATTACCTCATGGTGTGTAGTCACTGGATATCCAGACAGTAATTTTCTTTGGACAAAGCTGCTCCCATCAGTAAACAGTTCTCAATCAGGACTTGCCAAGGGTCTGTCTCCTAAGTTGGGTCTGCTGGAATACACTTCTTCTATAGCTGTAAGCAAACAAAGCAAAACATAGTTGTGCTCTGTTGTTCCTTCTACCTGTTGGGCAGATAAGAACACAGAGGGTTAATGATAGAAGTCGTTTTGATTGTCACATTGTCTCTCTCCAGTGACACTACCTGGTACTTCAGCATCTGGCTGGGAAAGAGCCAGTGGCCCCCTTTTTGCTTGAGTACCGACTGCACCATGTGTGGTGCAAAAATGATAATCCCAAATGACAATCCCAAAGCCAGTTTTCAAGCTTCCTGGATCAAAGAACAGTAGCTGCTGCTGCCCTCAGACAAGCAGACAGCCTTGGCTGACATTTAATTGCTTTGAAAAGTAGCCCACAGCCCTCCTCTGCTCTCCAAGGAACTGCGACAGCACTCACAGTGCTGTGTAATGTCTTGCATAGGTAAAATAGTTCTAACAGGTACGTGGTCTGGGAGCCCCAAAGCAGGGCCTGCATAAGGGCTTGCTTGAGCTGTAAACAGGCAGCCCATGAATCATCACTGCAGGCTAAAAAGTCCTTCTGAGCTGTCTTCAAGAGCTTACATAGTGGCTCTACTAACAGCCCACAATTGCTAATCCACAGGAGACACCATCCCACCATCCCAAGAAATGTAAGCTATAAGTCCTTACCGTTTGTGGCAGTGGGTGTTGGTAAATTGCTTCTTTTCTTTCCTGTCCCAGCCTACTTTGTCCTTGGAGAGTTTTGAGTCCCAAGTGGGTTACTGTGGTCTGGAGTATTTCTGCTTTGTCTTTGGATTCTCTATATCCAGTTAGTCCCACAAAAGTCTGCAAGGCCACAGTCTGATCCCAGCATTGCTGTTTAGTGTCAGTGGCTATCAGAATGTCACCTCCATACTGTAACAAGACTCCAACAGGGTTCTGATTTTTCCATTCCTCCACTTCTTTTGCCCATTGATTTCCAAATACTATAAGGCTATTTTTAAACCCCTGTGGGAGAACCATCCAAGTCAGTTGGCTTCTCCCTCTGTTTGCATTTTCCCATTCAAAAGCAAATAGCTCTCGAGTCTCACTACTCAAAGGGATGCAGAAAAAGGCATCTTTCAAATCTAATACTGTAAACCATTTCAGTTTTTCACTCAAGGTTGCTAGTAAGGTGTAAGGATTTCCTGCTACTGGGTGAATATTTTCTACTGTCTTTTTTATGGCTCTAAGGTCCTGTACCAGCCGGTAAGCCTTTCTTTCAGTTTGCATTCTTAACTGGCAATATAGGGGTATTAAATTTGGATTCACATTCCTTCAATAGGCCATATTTTATAAATTTTTCCACAAGGGGTTATAACCCCTTATGACTTTCTGTTTTCAAAGGGTATTGCTTTTGCCTTACCAGTCCTGCTGTAGGTTTCAATTTAATTCTTACAGGCTCTGCTCTTTTGGATCACCCAGGCACCTCTCCAGCCCAGACTGTCAGGATCACTGCATCCTCAAGTGATACTGGAAAATGTATCACGTCCAGTTTCAGAGACTGTAATGCAAAAATAGAGGCTTCCACATAATTAGGTTCTGGAATAATAACCAGTATTTTGTCATTTTAAAATTTGATTTCAGCATTCAGTTTTTTCCAAAAATTCTCTCTCAAGGAGAGGCTTTGGCAAATTGGGTAGATGCAAAAACTGGTGAGTCATCCACTGTTTTCCTAATTTAAAGCAAATGGCTGAGTTTTGTGATTCCCTGTTGCACCAATGATTGTTAGAGACAAACTCAAGTTTCCTCTTGCTGTATATATAAGTTACTAGCTCCTGTATCCACTAAAAATCCTACCTCCTCATTTACCTCCTTGTTCCCCAGCTTAGCTGTAAGCAGAGGTTTTGCCAGGGAAGAATCCTCCAGTCCGCCTCAGTTATTGTTGATGACAGCCACAGGCTGTCCACATCCTTGTCCCCTTCCTTTCCCTGGGGGCACCATTCCCCTAGAAACTCCTTCATTAACTCCAACTACTTTTTGTTTAGTTATTTCTTGCTGGTTTTCTCTGTTCTGAAAAACACCCCAAGTAACATCTAACAGCTTCCCTAAATCATGCTGGTCTTGTCCCTGAGCCTGTTGTAATTTCCTTCTGATATCATCTGAGGGTTGTCCCACAAATATGGGGGCTAATTGAGTTTTTCCTTCCTCTGTTTCAGGATCAATATTAGTATATTTTTGAGCCGTTTCTTTCAGGCAATTAAAAAATGCACTGGGGGATTCCTTACCATCCTGCTTAATTTCAAGTAATTTTGACATATCGACAGCTTTTGGTATGGCATTTCTAATTCCATACAGTATCCATTGTTGATATCTATTTAATCTCTGTCTAAACATGGGCACAGTGGGGTCCCACTTGGGATCCACAGTGGGGAAATTAATGTCCAGTGTACCTGACAAGTTACCTGTCAAAATCTGCTCTTCCACAAACCTCCTACTGGTTATAACAACCATCTCTCTTTCTGTACTGTCAAACAGCATTTCTAACATAGCATCTATATCCTTCCAGTCTGGATCGTGAAGTTTTATCAGCATTTCAAATGCTTTTGCCATTTTGTCTGGGTCATCTCGGTAGGTGCCAGCCATCAACTCCCAATTATTAAGGCCTGTTCTTGAAAATGGAACTTCTTCTGTAATTGGACCCTCCATACCAGCTGCCTGATGGAAGGCAGCTGCTCTCACATCTCTCTGTTTAGCAATAGTAGTCTCTGCAGCCAGACTAAAACCCTCTGTTCCTTGATACATCCTCTCTGTTTCTTCTGTCTTCTCCTCTGCTCCTCGAGACATCCTCCCTGTTCTCTCCATCTTCTCTTCTAGACCTGCTAAATCCACCTCTTTGCATGCCAATTCTCTCCTAGTATCAGTCTCAGCAACCTGGTTTTCTGTTCCCCCATGCAACCTGCAGTTCAGACTGAACATAGCATCTAAATCATCCTTCATACTGGGGAGATGTTTAGAACAAGTTTGTCCTATGCTGCACATAGAACAGCAATGTTTTAACCATTTTCCTTGATTGTCCTTTTCAAGAGCCAGCACAAAAGGGTCTGAGGGGACTGGATTCAAGCCACAATCTTTCTGCCATTCAGGATGATTCCGTAAAGTGAAAAACATATCAGCATACATAACCTCATCCCATTTCTGTTCCTGTCTTAAAAACAACATTAACTTTAACAGTGTATTGTAATTCAGGGTTCCATTTTGTGGCCACTTTTCTCCAGAGTCTAGTTGGTACAATGGCCACCTCTGATTACAACACTTAATCAAATTCTCCCTGGTTGCCGGTCCCCCAGGGGGGCCTCCAATCTTTTTCCAATGTTGCAAAAGGCAACCGAGTGGGGATTTTTTCAGAATGCCCCTTTTAGATTGCCCACTGCCCATCGCCGAATAGTAAACCAAAAATGATACAATACAGATACAAATGCAAATACAAAGCAACTATGGATTGGTAAAATCAAGTCAAATAGTGAATTCTGGAATATCAAATAACCCACCCAATGCTCTGGAAAAGCCACACGTATTATATGGGCAGGATTCCCAAAAGAATGCCTTATTATCACATAGGATCTCCTTACCTGTGTCCCAGACTGGTCCGGGGATCTGTGGTCTTCTCCAGGAAAGTCCCGGTGCTGGCGTGAAGATCCAGAGATCCCTCGGATCCACGGGAGATCAGGCAGAGTGTCCCACTGGGAGCTGCCAAATGTGATACCGAAATCGGCCAGACAGAAACTTTCTAACACAGTTTTGAGTATTAGAAAGCAGGCATTCCTCCCTGCAGCGCTGGTCACTCGGAGCCTCGAGTGCGCCGGGCGTCGCGCAAGCAGAGCTTTTATCCTACACGCTGATTACACATTCATTAACTCTCCCCCTTACTTGATGTGTAGGGGTTACTTTATTTTACATAGTCACACCCTTTATCAGAGGTCCTTATGTGGTTCTTTGGGGCCTGTCTTCAATGTCTGGTGTCCTTTGTAGGGGGCTGTCCCTCGACCCCCACTTTTGAGTAACTGCAGTATCATTGTTTTGCATAAGTTCTACTGTGTCAGCCTTGCAGAGCTGAGCGGGCATCCTGATTGTGCTTTGCATTACTTTTGTTTCGTTGACCTTATCTGCTTCTCCAAGGCTACCTTGTTCCCTTTATTTGATAGGAGTAAAAACTGTTGTTCTGTTCTGCTGCCTTTATCTTTTTGATATCTGTTGCTGGAATGAGTATTTGAAAGAGTGTCAGAGAGAAGAAAAATGCGGGAAGTAACTCCGGTACTGGCAAGCAAGGCCTGTGAGCAGTCAGGACTTGTGGTGGGGTCCAGAAAGGGCTGACATGAAACATTTGTATACAGGACAGGTTGACAAGAATGTTGAAGCTGAAATAGAATCCAAACAACTTTGTCTGGCTGTTCAGTTTATTTTTTTTTATTTTTATTTGAGGAGACAAGATTTTCTAAATATTATATTGTGAATAAATATTATTGAGGACATACCATATCTTTCCTCACTTTCTCTTACAGTAAGGAACAGAACCCCAATCTGGGCTAGCTTCTGGGTTAGAAAGTGGCTCAGAACAAATTTTGTGTACTGCTCTCCTTAGATGTTTATATGCTTCTTGGTCTGTCCAGATCTTTGTCTAACCTTCTGTATATTCCATCTAGGACAGAGTCACAAGCCCTGGTTATGTCAGAAAATCACATCACCTCTCTTGAGCTCCAGCTTTTCTTTTGCTTTGGCACCTACTTTTTAATTCAGTTTCATTAGAGTCTTTTTTTTAATCTGCTTTGAAAGACAGGAGGTTGAAATCTCTGTGAAAGATGGGCCTCCTTGGAGTCCCTTGGCTGTTAACCAGCACCAGATCTTGACTGGTTCCACACAGGATTGGCATCTCAACCATGGTTTGAAATTGTTATCCAGAAATTTTCCTTCACTGCGAGCCACAGTCAGTAGTTTTTATTGCTACTGAATATTATTTTCATCCCTGGCAGACTTAGACTTAGCTTTTGCAAATATCACTAGAGTGCTGGTGCTTGTGATGCAAATTTCTGTAGCTGAGAAGGCCACCTGATGGTAAAGGTTTCTGCTTCTTTCTTCAGTCAAATGGCTTTGAGGAATTTCTTAGAGGAACTTAGTTGGAATATTGTATTGGGTACCTTTTTGCTTTTGAGGTTCCAACAGCTAGATTTAAATGCTGTAGAACATATATAGAAAACCCAGGAAATGAGAAACAAAAACCTGCCAATAAAAAGCACTTCTGCATTTTTTATACTGTTATTATATCTTAAACCCCAGCCCTTCTGGTCTGACTCCTGTGTATAGCTCTCCTGTACAGGAAAAAAACCTCGGCTCTGACTACCCTTCCATTTTGTGCTCCTGAGCCTCTGGTGGTACCAAGTCACTTCTATAAGCATCCAAGTTTAAATAGCAGCCTTTTTAGCCTGCAGTGGAAAGTGTCTCACCTGGTCCCCTTCAGCCTAAGGAAGGATGAGTGCAGTGCCTTGCCCTGAGGAGCTGGGTACGTAAAGGGTAGGAAATGTACTTTCCTGAGTTCCCTTAGGGCTGTACAGAGAACCCTGGAGGGATAAAGGCAGCTGAGAAGAAATGAATGTTGGTAAATGGTATTAAAAGCTATCAGACAGGGAGACATATGATTGCAAGATACATAGGGCTGTTAAGTGAGGGAGACTGTGAACCCAATTTATGCCAGTGGCATGAGGAATGAAACAAGAAAGGTGGCACACAGTAGGCTCCCTTGGCTCCTCATAAATTTTGAATTGTCTGCCTTTCCTTTTTTTAATATCCTGTGAAATGAAAAGCCGGGGTCATTAGAAGATGTGCTGGTAAAGGTGATGTGAGAGAAGAAATTTCTGTATTCTGGCCTTCATTTCTCTGATTGTCAATGATTTGTTAGTCAGTTATCTGGCAATTGGATATATCTGTAGTTTGTTAAAGTGTAGATTATGTTTTTCAATTTATCTTGCCTGCATCTTTAGAACCACAGTTGCCATGACAATATTTTGGGTTCATTCCAATGAAGAAAAGGATTTTAATTTTTCAGCACCCTCTGAGCAGAATGGCACTTAAACTTCATATATTTCTATAATTTTAGTGGGAATGTAAAGAAGTTGCTGTTTAAAACAAACATCTGGGGGCCTGATAATTCCTGGAAATAACTTTAATTAAGGGGAAGAGGAGAAACAGAAGGAAAGGCAGCCTTTGGTATTGGACTAGGACTTTTGTGTGTGGTGCAAAATGACCAAGTGCTCCCAGAGAGCAAACAGTGCTAATGAGAAATTACCAGTGAGGTGCGAGCAATTGCTCTGCAGAGCAAGACTCATGAATTGGTCTATTAAACTTTGTCAGTCCCTTCTAATTTCATCCTCAGCTGACTTGCAGCCCTCTAAAAAATGAGGTCTAGGCATATTTGCCATAGATTTTTCAAGTCGCTCGGGAGGGCCATAGCAGCTCTGCATGTTGTGTGCTGTGATCCGTCCTTGTGGGAGGGTGCTAGGAGCATCAGCATCACATGTGGATTTCTTCTGCTTGTAAATAGGTTAAGGCTGTGTCTTGTGATCTGGTTGTAAGTTCTCTAGAGGTCAGCAGAGGATTTTGATAATTATTTTGGCCTTTCCATGAGAACCTTCACATTTGAAGTATGGGGTTTTTTTGACCAATCCAATATGATCCCTAAGAGTGGCCATTCTATTTGGTGGCAATCCGAATTCCAGCTGGATGAAGTCTCAGCTTTTCATTGTTGTCTCTGTTCTTCACATGAGGTAACCTCTGTTTTTCAGGAGGGTGTTTTTAAACTGTGTCTGTCTCCATAAACTTTCCAGGCATAGTTGGCTTTGCAAGCTGGGAAAAAGGTATATTTAAAGGCATTATTTAAATAACTCCCAGACAAAATTCATTAACTTCAGTGAAGTGTCCTTAGGCAAGTACCTGAAGTGTCTTATATTCAAGAAAGACACACAGGTCAGCCTTCTTCCTCCTGTCTTTTGTGGATGCCATCCAGATGTGTACTTGTTAAAAGGCTGTATGTGTACTCGGCTCTCAGTGAAGTGGGGTTCTCACCCTGTCCCCTACAATGTACGTATCAGTAGCAGTCACATATTGATACTGGTGGGGAGTGGTGGGGAATAATTTACTGATTTCTGAACCAGTTAAACTCATTTAGTGGAAGAGAGGGTGTTTTAAAGCTGGATATGTCAACTGAGTGTCATTTCTCTGGCATCACAACTTTTTGAAAACAAAAGCTATGTACTGTCTAGAGAGTTTTCTGTTGAACTTTTAATAACTTTGTGATCAGGTGCTGCGCAGGTAATTGGTCTGTGTGCAACCCAGAATGTTTCAACAGGAGCATGTACATGACCACCAGTTTGTTCTAATTAAATAATTGCTTTGATTAAGCTGAATGTAATTAATGCAAATTAGATAATAGAGAAAGGTAAGTGAGCAATTTAACTGCTGTGGGTTTGTTGCAGAATTTTCAATGATTTATTTTGTGGCAAAGAAGAAAGCATTGGAAAATATTGCTACTGAACAGCTCAAATGAAAAGGGATCATCTTGCAGTTTGCATGGCTGCATGTTAGACTTGTGCTGAAAGCTTTATATACTTTTTTAAGGTTGTATGACAGGGTATAGTTAGAGCTGGGAGGGAGGAGGCCTTTTCCTCTTCCTCGCCCTCTCTCTTTCCCTCTCTCTTTCCCTCTCTCTTTCCCTCTCTCTTTCCCTCTCTCTTTCCCTCTCTCTTTCCCTCTCTCTTTCCCTCTCTCTTTCCATCTCTCTTTTTCTCTTTTTCTTTTTTTTTTTCCTCTCCCTCAAGGAGTTTTAAGGCTTAGAAACCTTGAATATGCTGACAAGGTGGTGTCATTGCCTGAAGTGGCCCAGCAGTGTCCATGGCTCAAAGGGCAGTAATGCAGTGCTTGGAGATGAGGCAGATCTAAGGTCAGGCTGGGCTGTTGCAGTTCAGGTCAGGGAGGTAGAGGGCCAGGCACAAGTTTGGGTGAACAAGGCAAGGCCCAAAGGTTTGAGCTTCATTGCAGCTCCACAGCAAATAAATGAGTTATTCCTGAGATGAATGTCTTCTCACTTACCACGGCTTTGGTTGTTATTGGCAGGGTTTTTTTCACCCCTTATTCTTTTTTAAAAATTTTATTTTAAGCACCTGAAATGCCAGCCTGAAACCAGAAAAACTTTATGAAAGCCAGGCAAATGACAAAACTGTTATTTGAATTTACCACAGTGTTTGTGAGTGCTGTGTCTTCGCAGGAAATAATGTGCTCATCTCTGGCATGGTACTGGAACAGCATTGAAAAATGTGCATTCAACCATGGGTTGAATTTTTCTGTGTTTTAAATGTTTCTGTCTAGTCCCAGAGCAAAGAAAGCCCAACTCAAACAGGCATAGCTGGGACACAGGATGAAGTCTTGATCACCAATCTTGCTGAACAGAGCCCAGCCAAAAAGGTATCCCCAGGCACAAGCAGAAAGCATCAGAACTCTTCCATTTCAGTGCCTTGTATCTGAGGAATTCCCTGAAAACTGCTGCCAGCAGCAGTGCTGGATACTGGGAGACTGACAGTCAGTGGATTCCTGATAATTTTGTCCTTGCCACTGCTGCTGTTAAGGATGAACCGCAATAGTTTGGTTGTCAGTGGAAGCTAGAGGGGAGGGCAGGTGTGATGCCACACTGATTTCCTCCTTGTTCTCACCAGTATAACTGTCCCTGCTTTCAGAGGTCTGAAGTCACAGGCTGGAGTATAGAATTTACCTTTTTTGTCCTGTTATTTTAAATG